TTCTCAAAGAATGAAAGTCACTCACTTGTTTTTCGGTACCCGAAAATGCTTCCAAACTCTAACCAAATGCCCAACAAAACACAAAGAACAACCTCTCCTAAATATCCACATCAAACACCTTGACAAGCAAAATAACACATCAAAACTAATGCTAAAATAGAGCAGAATTTTTTGTTTCTAAAATAGAGCAAAAACGTCAAAATTACTGAAATCCTTACCGAAACGACTCTCTGAAACCTCCGATCTATTTGCATCACTTATCCTCAACAAAAGCTGATCAAACAACTAAAATAAACATCTAATCGAACTAAAACCACACAATTGACCTCTACAACTCTTAATTCACGGATTCACGAAAAATGACAAAATCAACCTTGTTTTCAAGAAATCGATATCCATATCAAAAGCAATTGAAAAATTATTTTAATGTGATATTAATCATCTCAATTTCATTAAGAAAACCTCATAAACACCTCAGGAAAATTAGCTCAATAATTAACTCCGAAAATAAATATCAATTCATAAAATCATTTCCAATAGATTGATTAATAAAAAAAATCATTAGCAACAAATCACTTGCCCTTAAAGCATGAAAGAAAATCAAGGAAATGAACATTACCTTGTTGTTTATGATTGAAAAGAGAAGAAAGAGATCAACAATGACACTCCATCATGATCGAGAGTAAAATTGGCTACAAGGAGAAAAGATGATTAAAATCAAGCTTAAAGAAAAGAGAAATAGAAATCAAAGAGAATAAAAGAGGAAGAAAATTGCTCATCAAAAAGAAAGAATTTGAAAGAATTTGGGAGAAGTTACAAAACGGTTGAAGAAAAGAAAATGAAAGCCACGTGAAATGAAAATCAAGAGATTAAAATAGATTTTGATTAAAAGATGAATCTAGATGGAATGTAATAAAAGGGAAGATTAAAATACGGTTAATTTAGGAGGGAAAAACTCTAAACAGAAGCCTTGGTAAAATAAGCATCATAGACTTTGGATTTGTGATAATTTGCAAATTAGCAACTAAAATCTTAATTTCCAATTAATTCAATTTAATCGATAAATCAATTTTCTAATTAAATTCCAACATAAAATTTAATAACAAAAAATCATTCAAAACCTTTCAAAAACATTTTCCAAATCAAAAATCAAAAGTTTTTAACATTATTTTCATTTATCGAAAATCCGGAAATTGACCCGAAAACCGACCCAGACTTTTGGACGTTACAATTATGTTCATTTTATTTGTGTTATGTTGACTACCTCACTAAGCTATATAAGCTTGCACTTTCTTTGTTTCACCATTTCATAGAAATAAATTTGATAGCTTTCCAATTATATTTAAGATGTTGTAAGTCACTTTCAAAAAATTTAGTGTAATTTCGTTCTATCTAAACTCCTAAATGATGGCATATGTCTCTGTTGTGTAATTAATATGTAGCTATGATTCTATGTTATTTAGTTATAAGTTTGGAGTTTATGTTGGCTATGTTGGGTGTGATAATGAAGATAGAGCCTCAAGTACCATGGTGATGAAACGTGAGCTCTTTCGAGTATGTTGTGAAATCACAAGGTAAATGCACTTGATATCATGATGCATGATTTAAAAATATAATTCATATTATCTTAATGAATTAAGATATTCATGAATAGGTTGATTACAGGGTGTGCTCATGAATGAATAATTTATGTGATTCCTTGAATGTTTTGTAAATATAATGACATTTTTAAGCCATGAAATAATAGCTAAGATAAGTTATGTTTAGAATGCATGATTTGGTTTAATTTTTTTATATGATATGTATATGGATAATAAGCATGATCTTGAAAGTTTGAATGCTTAGGTAAATGTCATGTTTCTTAAGTGTTTGGATGTGTTTTCTATTTATTTTAATTACAACTTGTTATGTGAAAGTTAGGACAAGTTTGATTAAGTTTTATGTATGATTTAGACAAAATGACCATTTAGTACTATATAACCAGTAATGGTACTCACCTTAGGGTATCGGTACCAAAAAGTTAATAATGTTTATAAAATTCAATTTAGTCTTAAGTTGTATCTTTTATTAGATTACAATTGAATCATGTGAACTATTGTATGTTGTATGTTTTTAAGTTTGTGTAACTCTTATATGTTATTAATATCACACAATTATTGAATTAGAATAAAATATCAAATTACAATAAAGTCCATAATAAATCCACAATTGGTACCATAAGTTATGAAAGGGTAAATTACATGCTTAAATTCATCTTAGACTAATTTGTAGTATTTATGTGACTATTTACACTTAGGTCTTTAAACTTTTGAAAAGTTTAAATTTGATCCTTAAGCGAGATAACAATATTAGACTAAGTCTACGAAATTACGCAATTATTGAATGTCAAGGTTTGTTAAATGAAGGATTCTCATAGTTCTAACATTTTCAGATAAGACCTTGAACATTTAGAAAATTTTAGTAAAGACCTTAAGTGTAGAATCAACTATGATTTGATTAGTGAATAATAAACATGATGTTACAATGTGGAATTTTGATGATTTGATTCTATTTGATGTTTAAAGCGATACTATGTATGATTTATAAATATTTGATTTTGGTTTGAGTTTTGACAAAATCCCTGATCTGATTTTCGTCTAGACCGAGTTGAGGGTGTTACAAGATTTGTTAAACTCTAGGTGTGAATCATAAATGAATCGGTTAATAATGGGGATTGGATTTGTTAAATAAAATTTGAATTTAATCGGATAGGAATTGAATCCAATTATTCATATGGAAAGAGTTTTTGAGCTGTGAATAAAAAAAGGAAGAACTAGAGATATAATTGGACCATTTCTACTTTGAAGGTTTTTTTTTTTCTAAAATAGAAGAAATATATTCAAATGCCAATGGCGTCAAGAAGCACGTCGTTTGAAATACATTTCGATACATGAAAAAAATAAACCAATGAGGATTGATCCTCGATAAAGCCCATTAAACCAAATTATGAGTAACGCAGTTGGCCTCCTAATTAACAAATTGCACCTTGAGGTTTAGATTGCCTGTCATGAACATGCATGTTTCATTGAGCATCAATCCAATCACCAATATGTCATCTCTTGGATTAGCTAAACAATTGTCAATGAAGATGACATCACCTTCAATGATAAGATTTTCCCAGTCGTTTTTGGTTGCCATACGAAGTCCTTCTGTAAAACCAGTCACCTCAACCGATTCAGCCGAATGTGTGCCTTCTAGTCTTGTAGCCATTCCCCCACCACTATTCCTAGATGATCTTGTGTTATAACACCAATTGTGGTTGCATCCATGTTGGGTGGAAATCCCTATCCACATTAACTTTCAAACTCTCGGCCTGGGGGTTTCCATTGCTTCCTTCTCGTTCTGCATGGTTGTTGAGGATGACCCCCAAGACTTTGTTAGTTTGTTTGAAGTTCATCCCTAGGAACCAAGCAACATTGATAATATCTCCCGGATTTTGACGTTTCCCATCGTGGACCCATTTGTTTCTTCTATTCCAAATATTCCAAATTAGATCGAAGAATTTGTGAATCCTTCTCGATCCAGTCTTACAACAGTATTTTTAATCCAAGATTTGCATGTTGTTGCGTGATCTTCAAAGCAGCTCCTGTCAAGCCCCGTTAGCCTCAAAGATTTCCTTGTCTTAGGGCACTCCTTTAGAGCATGGATGTTGGTCTTCATCTCTTGCGAGCATAGAAGACCCAACCCCGAACCTAGTCCTACCGCTATAATCTTATTTTTGGTGGGCAACACTTCATGGCAGAGTCGCCAACAAAATAATTTGATCTTTGGAAGCATTGGGAGTTTCGTGATTAACTTCCAAATCGAAGAAGGATCTCAGATAATCCCCGCCTCCTTAAGTAACCAATTATAACCCGATTTGGTGTAACAAACACTAGAAATTGTGATGCTCCTAAATGAGTTGGTCCCCTAAAGTTGCTGAGAAAATAGTGCCCAAGATTTGTTTTGTTGTGTTCCGTGAAGATATGTTGTACCTTAAGTGCATGCCATCTTGGAACCCCGAGAACCATGAAATCCTTATAAAGGATTAGTTGATCAACAATGTTGTTGTAGATGTTATTGAAAACCACCGATTTTTATCTACCAAGTGCCTGTCGTGAATTTGTGAGGGGCTATCAATGTCGACTCTTCAAAAGTATCCATTCTTATGGGCCTCATTTGCTTTAAAGATACATGTCCACGCGAATGAGGCTCTTGCTCCCAGCTTGGCATCTAGAAAATTGGAGTTGACAAAGTACTTCGCTGTAAAAACATTGGATAAAGAGAATCAAGACAGTGAATAAATCTTCAAACTTGTTTCTTCAACAACGCCAAATTGAAAAGCTTCAAGTCTCTAAAGCCGATTCCACCATCTTTTTTCGCTCTACATACTTTGGTCCACGCCACATGTGCCCATCCCCGAGCATAGCGCTTCCCTGACTACCAATAAGCACTCATATAAGAGGATTTTGTCTCTAAAAGCTTGCGTACAAACAATACATATTAATAAGAAATCAACTCTAATCCTTGGACCCCATAGACCCTATTGATGAAGTTTGGAGCATTTTTGTGAAATAAACATTGGATTAGTGTCATGAAGTAAAAAAAGAAAAGAAAAAAAAAAGAGTGGATTGAAAATTTTAAGATCCAATGGTCATCAACGATCGATGACGGTAATCGACGATGACTGAAGATGATAAGTGGCGACTAACAATGAGAACATTGTTTGGATTTAAGGGTCAAATTGATATTTTATATAAAATTAAGGTATTAGATTAATATTTATCTAAAACTCAAGATTAAGTTAATTAACTATTTTTACTCAAAAATTAACAAGAATTAATGATTCAATGACTAAAATAAGACAAATCAAAACGAAATTGATCAGAACATAACTGTTTTTAAAACTAGTAAGCAAATTAAGTTTACCTATAATTTAATTATCATTTTTCTCAAACTATACCTTACATGAAAAATAAGGGAAGGCAAAGTTCAGACTTATCTACTTTGCGCTCTGTTTCCTGCCCCTCTGCGCACTGCAACTAACAAAAATTCTTCCACTGCCTTATCTTTTCATCACCCTTGGAAACAATTCCCCAAATCCCCACTCTACCCTACCGCCATGGGAGAAGACAAAGCAATTTTACGCTTCCAAACCATCCCAGGCCTTACCCCTTTGGGAACAACGAAGCCCGATGACTTTCTCTGTCGAAACGCCCCCCTCACTTTTAATTTCAGTAACCGCTACCCCAGGGGCACTGCTCGTAATTTCGCTTCTCTTTCCATGGCAGAGAGGAGACAACAGCAACGGGATTTCGCGCCTTCTCCAGCTCAGCTACTCAACCACCCTTTGGCTTCTCTAGCTTACGTCCCCAGAGACGCTGCCATTTTCGCAGCTGGCGCTGTCGCTGGTGCCGTCGCTAAAACCGTTACGGCTCCCCTCGACCGAATCAAGCTTCTTATGCAGGTTAGGGCACCTACCATAGTTTCCACATAAAAAAAGAGTATCGGTTAGTTTGTTATTTAGTTATCTCTTAACAAAAGTATAAATTTCGAATAAATTACCACTAGTATGGATAATTTAGCGTGTTTTATTTGGTTGAGAAAATTAATTGTTTTATGGAATTCAGAATTGTACTCCCTCTGTCCTGATTTTATTGTCACGTATTTTTTTTTTTAGTTTTAGGGAGAAAATGATAATTTAGTTTTTGAAAAGTTCATTTTTGTTTCTGATGCAAAACTAAGAACAAGGGTAGAAAATGAGAAATAACTTGTACTAATTGTTAAATTTTTCAAAGTGATAATTTCAATTGGATAATTTTTCGGAATTCCTTTTCCTTTTCCTTAACTATAAAGTTCGCATGCTGAGTTCATATTGAATTGCTTATGCTTTGGTTCTGGGGTTAGATGATAGTATGGATGTATTGATGGCTAAATCTTCAGAAAACACCCACTTTGCCAATGATTGCATTGAGGTCTTTAAATCGGAAAAGTTAAAGAATTAAATTCTAAATTTTTAATGCAAGGATGAAGTCTCAAATTTTATTCAACTACTAGGACTTGCAACATATTTTAACTTATTTAAAATGATTTTTCCCTTGGCAGACTCATGGCGTTAGAGCTGGGCAAGAGAGTGCAAAAAAGTCCATTGGTTTTATTGAGGTATGTTTTTGGTTTATTTTTCTAGTTCTGAGGTATCTTTGGAAATGTGTGTGATTCTTTCTTTGCTAGCTGGGATGGACCGCCCCCCCCCCCCCCCCCCGAAAATTTAAACTTATCATATTTTAGATTTTTTATCTATGTATTTTGTATTGAAAATCTGTTTTTACCCCCTTGAAGTTTTATAAATTCGTCCCCTCTTAAAATTTTAGAAGTTCGCCCCCCTAAAGTAAAATCTTGCGTCCATCCCTATTTTCTAGTATTGGTAATTATATGTTTGTTGAATTTTAGCTGATTAAGGTAGTTTTATTGGATTATATTTTAAACGTTGGTTAATATTTTGGAGTGAATTGCAGGCGATTGTATTGATTGGGAAGGATGATGGAATTAGAGGGTACTGGAAAGGCAATCTTCCTCAGGTTCTTTGCAACTTTTTACTTCATTTCCTTATTCTGAGAATAGATTTTGATAATGTAATAGTGATGGTTTATTAAGCTGCCTTTGATATAGATTTATTACTGAATGGTTCAGGTGATAAGAGTTGTACCTTACAGCGCTGTCCAGCTCTTTGCTTATGAAACTTATAAGGTATTAAATAAAATGCATAACCTAATCTTAGTATCATACTTATTCTGTGTCCCTTGATGGATTTGGTCTTTTAATTTCCATGTCCCATCGAATTCTAGAAACTTTTTGAGGGAAAAGATGGTGAGCTATCTGTACTTGGAAGACTTGCTGCTGGAGCTTGTGCCGGCATGACATCTACTTTTGTAAGTGATGCAATAATCAAGTTTTCTCATATTTCTGTTCAGTAGAAATATTCCTTTATGCTTCTTGCTTTTTGGCTACTGACTGTACTTATTTACGTACTCTATAATGGGAAAATCAGAAAGAGTCTTTTGTTTTATGGAGAAATTATTTCTGCAATTCAAATTTGTCCATGACCAACTAAATTTGGTTTTTGGATTTTTTTTTCTTCATTTTTCCCTTTGGATGAATCTCGGTTTCTCTCATCAACTGCTCTCTATGTTTTACTAATTTCAGTCTTTCACCGTTCCGGTTCTTTCTTCTTATGTAGATAACATATCCATTAGATGTCCTAAGGCTACGCTTAGCTGTCGAGCCGGGGTATCGGAAAATGTCTGAGGTATGCCAACTCTCTCATTGTTACTACATGAAGATCACCGATTTTTTGGAAGATAAACCTTAACTGTGCTCTTTCCAGGTTGCCCTGACCATGTTGCGGGAGGAAGGTTTTGCATCCTTTTATTATGGTCTTGGACCTTCTCTCATAAGCATAGCTCCGTATATTGCTGTGAACTTTTGCATATTTGACCTGTGAGTCCCATTGACACTTGGTAATAACATCATATGAAAACCCAATCTTAAATTTGTGTAAAAAATTCTTATGATTATAACAGTGTGAAGAGGGCTTTGCCCGAAAAATATCGCCAAACAACTCGAGCATCTCTACTGACAGCGGTAGCATCAGCTGCTGCAGCTACCATGACCTGCTATCCTTTAGACACGGTGAGAAGACAAATGCAAATGAGGGGTACTCCGTATAAATCAGTCATGGAGGCCATTCCGGGTAAGTCGACGATATTACTTGTATTGTCATGACTGATAAGTAACCTAGTCGATATAAAATGTACCGAACTTCATTGGCATTTGCCATTTATAACTAGAATCCTGCATACTTTTTCTCCCCGAGTGCGAGATATAGCTGCATCGACTTGGGTATATTAGAATTTGACTGTTGTTAATTTTCTAACTATCAGTATTCACTATCGTCCATGCTCCATAGTTTTGGTATTATGATATCAAGTCAGGATTCTTTTTTCATTTGTTCAGTTCTATTGTAGGAAAAAAGGTTAAAACTTTGGCCTCGATGGCTTCAGTGACTTCAACGTATTCTTGCTTGTGTAGGTATTATTGAACGTGATGGAGTTGGTGGCTTGTACAGAGGATTTGTTCCAAATGCATTGAAAAACCTTCCAAATAGCAGGTTCACTTTCATTTCTTTCCATGATTTTTAACAATACAACGTTTGTGCCATTTTCATTATACTCGGTTTAGAGCTGGAATATCTTGAGGTATTAGTTCAGTCAATTTCCAATGCTGATAATGCCTTGCATGAAAACTATAAAGATTTTCCATGTGAACTTGGTTGTATAGGACCCATGTAGGAAATAAACTGAAGTAGCTAACATATCATGATTTTGGTAGTCAAAGTCATCATGTCTATTTAATGAACAAATTCTAATGAATTTTAAGGTTTAACAACATTTAAACCTATCAAGTGGCCTCAATAGTCGATGAGAATGTTGTTCTTCCTAGAGGTCCTATGTTCGAGCAGTTGCTTCTGCTGGGTGTATACATTGTCAATAGGTTAAGAAAGTTGTGAACAAATATTATCTCATAATCATCCGCTTCACTGACATCTGTTACTTATTTCGACTGCAGCATTAGGCTTACCATCTTTGACATTGTCAAACGTCTGATAGCGGCGAGTGAAAAAGAGTTGCAGCAAATTGTGGATGAAAACCGCCAGAAAGAGAAGCAGGAAGCGAATATTGTGCAATCCTCATCCTCATGATGTGCAAGTCATCTCATTTTTTATGTTTGTTGGCTGTATCCAATTTTTGTACGAGAGAATACTTTCAGCTGGAGTTACCAATTGTTTCCGCCAATTAGGGATCATGTGTATGCTACTGAGAATTGAAAGCTGCCATTCGTTTTATTATTTTTAGGTGGAACCGCAATTTAAGTTCCACCATAATGATACACAAACTGTACGATTGCACTAGAAATATCATATTTTTACTTCATCATTCAGCTTCACTCTTTTTTGCATATACAAATTGTTTGCAGTATTCTCCTGCTAGAGGAAGCGCTAAACCCGAAGCAGCACACACTATTTTTGGTAAAGGAGACACTTCTAAAATGTTAGAAAGAGAAAAGCTTATAAAATTTTAGAAATAGACAAACCTATAAAATTTTACGAAAATAAAAATATATAGTAAAAGATTTAAAATGTATAATAATTTTAAATTTTCAAGGCGACAATTATCCCCTTCCACTCCCTCATTCTATCTCTGTGCACCACGACTCAATATCCTTATTTCCAATAGGAACATCCTTGTTCTCAAATATGGCATATTAAAGCATAAAACCAATGGCAAAACCTATGTATTAAAAGATTTAATTGATCTTTTTTTTTTAAATGAAAAGAGAGAACTAAAGAAGATTACAGCACTATAGCAGTGTCATTATGCAAAAAACAAGAAACAGAAACGGGAGGGATAGCATATCTGGCGGCACCGAATGGCATGGCCCATGCAATCTTCGGTTCGCTTCTCGTGGCGTATAGGAGAACTGCAGCCTCCAGGGACGAGCAATTAATTCAGCCAAGTGGGGAATCAAATGAGAACTGCCGTCCATTACTTTGCCTCGACAAAGCAAATCATAAGCTTCCCGGTTATCGGTTTCTACCACCGCTGCTTTAATTTCCATATCCCAGGCGACAGACAACCCCTCAAAATACCCCATAGCTCAGCATCCAACACGGAACACCTTTCTAACGCTTTCGAGAAGCCCACAATACAGTTGCCATGTGAGTCACGTATGACTCCCCCACACGTCGCTAAACCAGTCGAAGAATTACGAGCTCCATCAGAATTTATTTTGAACAACCCGGAGTGGGGGAATACCATTTGACAATTTCTCGACACGTATTCGAACCTCTACCAGTACCTCCATCCATGGCTTCACGGGCTCGAACAGATTCATCACAAAGGCGCTTCCCTCGCTGCACTATACCTTCAGTCTCTGTGAAATCGGGGTCGAAAATGAATCGGTTCTTCGCGTCCAGAGAGCCCAGAGGATCGCACCAAACATTAACTCCCACTCATTGCCATGAATCGGAAAATAATCAGGATCACTCAAATTTTTTTGCAGCCACTGTTTGATATCCATGGTGAGAAATTCGAGAAGCCGGTTGGGCTTAACCAGACCCGACCAAGTTGCAAAAGCAATATCACATCCGCGCCGAATGTGGGAAACAGATTCAACACCGGAATGACACACCGTGCACTCAGCATTATCAGAAATATGCCTCCTTGTTCTTTCTTCATTCGTTAACAGCCGATTATGCCCAATCAACCAGAATAGCATCTTGACTATCGGTAAACCCCTGTAACGCGATATAATCTTCCACAGGTCCGAACACGCATCAGAGGAAGTTCCCAATCGGTGTTCATAAGCACTGGCTATGGAGAAACGGTGGTTCTTCCCCCATTTCCAAGGCGGTCTATCATCTCCCCCAATAATCTTGGGAGGCAACACTGCTGCAATTGAAAGCAATAACTCATCCGGTAAAAGGTCCCCCAAAACATCCCACCTCCGATCCCCTTCCACGCCCACCATGAGAGCAACCGGAGTAGGTTGAAAAGAGAGATGATGCACCTTACAATGGTTCATGAGAGGACCAAAATGACACACCCAATCATCTTTCCAGAAAGTCCACAGTATTCCCATTTCCGAGCCGCCATCTAATCCCCGAATACACCTCTGGCCAAATAAGACTTAAACCCCGCCAAATACGAGAACACCCCGGGCGAATGAGGGAGTCGGGGAGAATACCAGTCCATTTATACTTGCATATATATATATATATAGATATGATTAATTTGTTTCCTACGTTGAAGGTTATGATTTCAAGCCCGTTTTAACATAATTATTTTTAATTTAAAAAGGTTAAATTAAGCATTTAGTGTTTAAACTATCAGTTTCGACATCTTTTAATACCTATATTTTTAATTTTTTCAAAATCATATCTAACTTTAGATTTTCAAATGGTTGTCCCTTTTTCCCATATATATGGGGTAAGGAGGAGGTAAGATGGTAGGTTACCCCCAACTTTAGATTTTGTTTTGTTTTAATATCTTATTATTAAAAAACTTAACGGATGATTTGACGTGGCACCTTTTTTGTAAGTAAATTGTATCATTCATCACTCAACTATCTTCTCACACCTATTTTGGTTACTAAAGTTTAAATTTTTTAATTTAATTACTTAACTTTCAAATTACTCCTAATTTAATCACTCTAACCTTCAAATTTAATTTTTTATTTTAATTATATATTAATAAAAAATAAATAAATAAATAATTCATATCATAAATTATTAATAAAATAAATTAGAATGATTAAAATAGAAGAAAATTGAAAGTGGAGTAGTTTAACTGAAAATATTTAAATTTTAGTACCAAAATTAGAGCGAGAAAATAGTTAAGTGATTAATGATGTAATTTACCCATAAAAATGTAATATCGTTAAGTTTTTAACTGTTAGATACTAAAATGAAATAAAAAATAAATATTTGATATGTTTTCAAAAAAAATAAAAATTTAAATACTAAAACTGATCAAAATAATAATTTAGATACTAAATTTTACCTTTAAAAATTTGAAAATTATAGATAATTTAAACATTATATTTATACGCTAAGAAAAAGCTTACCCGCGCATTGCAGCATTGTTCACTCCTGTCACGTGTCACAGGGAGTCGTTCATATCTATTCAACAAAATAGCTTAACGAAGTTAAAAGGGATTTGATTTAATTTTTTGTGAATTTTTAAAACTAATTTTAATTTTTATAAGAGTTAATTGTATTTTATGTCTTCAAATTATAGCTTTTAAATTAAAATAGTCCTTAAATTTTTGCATATTCCAATTTCATCCTCAACCTATGACTTTTATTCTAAATTAATCATTAAACTTTTAAACATTCTAATTTCATCCTTAAACTATTAACTTTTTTCTAAATTGGTCCTCAAAATTTTGAACATTCCAATTTCATCTCCAAATTCATCTAAATATGTAATTAGCTTCAACCATAGTTTAACCTAAATTTTGTTTTTTCAAACCTATAATAATATAACTTGGCCTAAGGATTTTATTAACAAAGGATGTGATTAGTATATACATAAAGTTTGGGATGAAACTGGAATGTTTAAAAAAGTTTGGGGACCAGTTTAGAATGAAGGTTAAAGTTTGGGGATAAAATTGAAATATTCAAAAGTTTGAGGACTAATTTAGAATGATAGTCATAGTTTAAGGATGAAATTGGAATATTTAAAAGTTTAGAGACTAATTTAAAATAGAGTCATACTTTGAGGACTGTGATGCAATTAACTCTTTAATTATTTTAAAGTTCTGAAAATTTTATTTTTTTCTAAAATTATGTATCTTAAATTTTAATACTTTTAAAATATTTATAATAATTTTTTTAGGATGGCGATCTTTTTAACAGTGTGTAAATATATAAAATTGAGTTTGTTAATTTAGTTAGAAATTAAGATTAAATCGATGAAATGTATAAAATTAACAATAAAAATATTAATATAATTATTTTGAAAAAGACTACCGTTATTTTGTAAACTATTTAGCAGAGAATGATCAAAATAATTACGATTTTTTAAATAATAAAGTTAGCTTACGGATGATCGATTACCTCAAAAAGTTGAGTAATAAAAACAGAAATCAATCAATAAATGGACGAGTATCTAAGAAATTCAGCCTTCAGTTTCAAAAAAAATTAAGTAGTTTTGGAGATAAACTATTCATAATATTTTTTTATCATTGATAATACATACACATTCTATAGATGCAACTTGTGTGAACATAGGACCTTAAGAGAAAATAATATTCATTTTAATTACTAAGAATGTATAAAAAAATCTTACATAACCAATACAAGATTAAAGATTTGATATTTAAAAATTATTAAAAAATTATATAAATTTGAATTCAAGTCAATTCATTATATGAAAAAGTATTTCCAAATTTATAAAATAAATTTAAATAAAATACTGTAAACCACTTTTTTCTTATTTTTAAAATTATCTTTTATTTTTCAAAAATCATTTTAAAACATTTTAAAAATTCAAAAAAAAATAGTTTATTTAAGCGATAAGATATAAGTAACGAATTTACCTATGAAAGTGTTTAATTTTTTAAAATACTTTATAGATATTTTTAATTTTTAATTTATATAATTCATTAAGTTATGCTTGATGTTTTAACTTTTAATTTTTTAATTAATTTTTTAATTTTTAATGTTTTTAAATTTCAAATTATTTTTTATTTTTAAGATTAGATAAGTTCTTAAACTTTCAATCAAAATTAATTAAGTCATCGAATTTGTTTGAAATATCAATTATGTCTTTAAAATCGACTAGTAATTCAATCTAATCTCTTGGTCAAATCATCATCTGTACATAAACCATCACATCTACATCATATATTATCATGTTAGTATAATAGACTATTAAATCAACACCATTAATTGCTATGTTAATATTATATCCGTCAACATCGATTAAAAGAAAAACTAGTACAATTAAATAATTTTAAACAAAATTAATACATCTAAAAAATAAAAATAACATTATTAATTTAGATTTTTTTTCAAGGATAAAACAATTTTTTGACCTAAACTAAATAATAATTATGATCATTGGCTATAAAATGTTACTTTGTTGAGTCACTAGATTATTAAAAGTTACAAAATAGTCCCCTAATTGTATGATATTGCTTTGTTAAGTCTCTCAACTATTAAAAGTTACAAAATAGTAACCCGACTATTCATATATTCTAAACTCATCATTTTTCGTTAAAAAATTAGTGGCCTTCTGAGCTAAACGTTAACTTGATTGTTGTGATGTGATAAAATCTTATCCAAGAATCGTTTGAGTTGTATCTTTAGATCGAATCTTTGTTTATATTACGCCATCGAGCCAATACTTAAAAGCAACGACGATGCCAATAGACCATTAAAATATGATTTTATCATATCTCAATCAGTATGTTTACGCCTAGGTTAGACGATTGTCATTTTTTTAACAGAAAATGACGAGTTTGAAACATATGAATAGTCATGTGATTATTTTATTATTTTAATAGTCGATGACTCATCAAAGCAATGTTATATAGTTGAAAGACCCATTTGAAATTTTTAATAATCGAAGACTCGACATAGCAATGCCTAGAGGGACCATTTGTGTACTTTACCCAAATAATTAAACGTATACATTTCATTAGACATAATTACCGTTTTAGAGAGTTGGTAAAGGAACATAGTACAACTGAGCCAACCCAATCCATTATTGACTCATATGCCGCTACAAAATAACAATGGCCCTTTTACCATTTTGGCAATTTCCCAAGTAACCAGCTGCAAAAATACATGCTGGCAGCCGATAGAAGAAGAAAAAGAAGCAAAACAAGCTAAAATCCAGGGACCAGAGCCCGTCTCTACTATTACCTAACTGCTTCCCCTGCTCTCCAGGTAACTCTGTTCTTCCTTTGAATGTTTCACTTTGCCCTTACTTCTCAGAAAGTGTGCGTACGGTCCTCCTTTATATTCCGTTGCCACTGCATATAAGGTGTTCGATGTTTTTCCTAATCGAACTATATGCATTTCTGAAACTTGTTAATCCATCGTATATGGTCTGATCAAGTGGATTTATCTGTTTAGCTGTTTTCCCATGTTGTAATTTTCAGAATTTATGGAGTTTCCTGGATACCCATATGACAATTCCGTAACTTGTACTTCACTGGCAAATTGGGTGGAAGTTATTTACATTCACCAAGAATTTTTTTTTGTATTATCAAGAAGATAACGTATTTTGTCCCACTTTCGGTTTTTTATTTTATGTCATCAAGTGGTTTATAGTTCTTTACATTCAGCTCCCACGGCAAATAAGTGTTCGATGTTTTTCCTAATCAAAATATCATGCTGTATGATCTGTCGTGTGTATTTCGTGATTAATTGTTTGCCCATGTTGTCATTTTCAAAATTTAGGTTGTATGTCAATTCTGTAACTTGTAATTCATTGGCATCTTGGATGAAAGTTTTTATACTAACCAATGTTAACTTTTATCTAATATATAGTAGATATTGTTTTTTTGGTTTTGATTTCAATTGTGAACGCAGATGGTTCCATTTTAGCCTGACATTTGTGTTTATTGGAAACGTGGAGATGGGAACCCCTAGTGTTTTGTGGAATATTGCGAAGAAGTGTTTCACGGTTGGGGTTATCACCCTTACAGTTTCGGACCTATTTGCTAGTATCGTCCAAGTCCGGGGTACCTCAATGTGTCCAACATTTAATCCCAAAACCAATAGCTTGCTTGATTCATTGAGTGGTATTACCTTTGAGATAGAGAGTGAGAGTTGAAGTTTTTTGCATTACTCTTGATTTTAAGTGGCTGATCATTTCTTTGGCCGCAGAAGATCGTGTTCTGGTTGAAAAGTTGTGCCTTAGAAATTACAAATTAGCACATGGTGACGTGGTAGTTTTCAGGTAAATTGTTCATTGCTATTGCTCATTTATCTTGATTACTTGTTAAGTCAAATGTAGCCACCTCCTGAATGAAGCAACACTTTGGGTTGGCTTCTTCATGCCAAACTTGTATTTCACTTCTGCGGAGTTGGAACAGAGTTATCAAGCTTTTGTTCATTGTAGAACAACTCGTTAAAATCAAAATGGGAGACTTTAGAGAAATTTATAGTGTAAACAATCACATTTTAATGAGTCCATCTGACATGACACTGGAAATGACTTTGTTTTTCTTTTAAGAAGCACAACTTCACCCACGGTTCGGGTGTTGCTGTTGCCTGATAAGTATTTTGATGAAATATTTCCAATACTTCCAATACCTATGTTGTTAATAAAAAATCGTACTGAAATGTAATGCTGCTTTTGTTGTATGCTTTTTCAGCTCTCCAAATAATCACAAGGAGAAACATGTAAAGAGAATTGTTGGCTTGCCAGGTGACTGGGTCAGGACTATTTACGACGTGGTGCATGTTCCAGAAGGACACTGCTGGGTTGAGGGAGACAACTCGGCTTCCAGCTTAGACTCGAGGTCATTCGGCCCCGTAAGTTGCTTCACCCCGGTTGCATTCTGTAATATTGTATGGCTGAACTCCTTTATATTTCGAATACTGTGAGGTTTAAACTGGAACGGGCTATCCTCTGCAGGTTCCATTGGGTTTGGTTAAAGGAAGGATCACCCATATATTGTGGCCTCCACATAGAGTAGGCAGCGTCGACAGAAAAAGTCCTCAAAACCGAGTTTGTGCCTCTTAATTGGCATCCCAATTCTGAACATCTATCTGTTCCTTTCTTTTCTATTCGATTACAGCTTTTTACTCGCTTGAAGCACTTGTCAAATGGCGTGGAAGAGTTCTTTCATGGACAAGTGTTTCCATCGGTTTCTAATCAACAACATTTCAGAATTTAAAACTTAGTTTTTATATTGTATTTTTATAAAATTGAGTTTTTATATTATTTTTTTATTTGAGAATCTATACCCTTCTCTTAACTTTTGTTCAATATTATTGTTAATTGTTGACTTTACATCTAAAAAAAAGTTAAAATAATTTTTCTACCTTTGTAGTTTTTTATTCAATTTGATTATTAATCTTTAATTACAATCATCAATTGAATGGTACAAGTTCCAAATCATATAGATTTTTAAGAGGGATAAATTGATCAATTTCAATACGTTGAAGATTAAAAATTTAGAACAAACCAGTTTCAATAACAATACAAAAGAACTAGGAGATACTATTCACGTTAAACTTATTGTTGAATCGGAATAAATGTGTTATGGCTCTTATATGTAGTTAATATTCTTTGATTTGGATGGACAATCATAATTGATGATAGATTAATTGTTGGTTGGTGTCAAAATTCTGTGTCACCAAAAGAAGGTAGAACATAAATGAGTGAGGTTGAGGTGGTTCCTTCTCATCTCTTGATCTTAATCGAGAGATTTTACGGTCTCTCGGAGTTGATCAGTGTAGGGTCATCATTACTACACGTAAGTTAGCAAACTAAGTATATATGATCTAGTTGCGATATTTGAGGTCATGTTAACATGTAGTTTTTTAAGAGATGTTAGATGTTCGAGGTCCTGCCTTTAGAAATGTTCTTATCATGTCTTTTGGGGTTTTTAAGATGCGAATGAGGCCAAAAATTCGAAGATGCTTCTGGTTTCATTTAGAGGTGCGAAGTAGATTTGAGATCCTCAAGAGGTATAACAATTTGCCCCCCTTGGTCGAGGCAATGCCATGAAATGGTTTGACCCGAGACTTGACTATTGAAACATTATTGACATTTATTAGGTCGTTTTTGGAGAAATGTCGCAACGATTATTTTTTGAACTTCTTAGAGACTTAAATGTGGAACGTCTTTGTTTAGCGTGATGGAATGGGGCACTATTTTAACCATTGTGGGCGTATTATTTCACCCGAGTATAAGGAGGATTTGGAGTGGCAGTCGTAAATCCTAATATGTTAATATTTTTCTGTGAAATTGTCTCTGGTTTTCATTTTTGTTTGTTTTCATGACGATGAAGAAGATTGTTGCGGAAGTTGTGAAGAAGAGAGAGGAGCAAATACAGGCGAATCGTCGACAATTGATAGATGGTGATATTTTCAAATGTAAAACCCGTCGGCTCGAGGTCAAGAATCTGTTGTCGAGTCGTGGTGCATTGTGGGAGAAATACAAGTTTGAATTTACTATTCTATGTAGTTCACTTTATATTAGGGGTAAATTACATAAATGACCACCCAACTATGGGGCATGCTCTCAAAATGACCACCATTTTTAAATTTGTGTCAATATGACTACTGAACGATTTAAATGGTATCAATATAGTCACATGTCGTTAACACTTAACGGAAGTGTTTACTTGGTAGTTAACAAAATTGGTATAATTAGGGTGCATGTACTTGTAAAGTTACATATTCGCGGTGCTGGAACCCTATTTGTTTTCTTCCATTTTGGTTACTATTTGTATATGATTTGTTTCCTTGGATTTTCATTTAATGCAATTTGATCCTGCTTCTGTTTTTAGTTTGTCTAATGCCTTAATTTGAGCATTAATTTTAAAATCTCTCATTCTAGTTATGTATCAACTTTATAGATTAAATCCCTTAAATTTTAGAATTAATCAATTTGATCACCAAGATTAACTTTAATTCTTAATTTTTAATTAGGTCCTAATTTCAATTTTGTTTAATAAATTTATTTCTTCTATCAAATGTGACACACATCATAGTCTAATTAGAGGGGTTTTTTAATTTTAATTTAATTAATTTAATAAAATTTCAATCCAATCAAAAGGTGACATGTGACACTTTTTGAATTGAAGTGAAAATAAATAAAGATGAGTTTTGACACTCAAGGGTAACCTGCACATGCCTTAAACACTAAGCTAATTCTCACGCTTGTTATTGAAATAATACATATGTTATATAACTTGTTCAAGTTTACATAGAAAAAATTAAAATAATATAATTTGATTTGAACCCAAAATGAATTAGTAATCAAGCAAGTCTTAACCAATAAGCTAAATCTAATATTTAGGAATCAATTATAAATATATATATATATATATATTATAGTTAATTGTTAGGCTCGAATCGATCAACCGAAATACGCCAAGAGGGGAAATTGGCCTTTAAAAGTCTTTGGTGTGGTAGCAATAAAAGATAAAAAATAAATTGGCACAACGGTTTATAGTGGTTCGACTTCTCAACCAAGTCTGCATCCACTATCTTAGCTCCACACTAAGGATTTTCTAACAAATTCACTAATTTGTTCTTACCTTTCAAGGATAAGGTATAATCTTTACAATTCTCTAGTTTTTCCAAAGGCTAAACTAGAACCTTTCCCCTCTTTACAAGGTTTGATTTGGGTAAACAAGAATACCTCTCTAAGTAGGTGTTTACAAGAATTAAGCTAACAAGGAATGAATTAAAAAGATATACAATAAGCTCATTACACTTATGTATAAGAGAAAATGAATTAAGTAGGAATGAAAACTCTTTTCTCTTGATATATATGCTTGGATAGGTGTAGTAACCTTCTTCAAGTGTCATTGTGTTGTTTTTATATGATGAAATGAACATGTGGTTGTTTCTAACCGTTATGGATGTTTTAGAGCCATTGGAAGCCTTTAATCCCCTCAATTTTAGCATTTTAGCATAGTGGTTTCGAAACCACTAGAGGGGGTTTCAAAATCCTTTTAAAAATGTAACCTTTAGAACATGTGATTTAGAAACCAGACGGGGGGCTTTAGAAACCAGTCAGGGGGATTCGAAACCAGGTACAAGGGGTTTCGAAACCAGGCAAAGGAATTTCGAAACCAAGCTGAAATGTTTTGAAACTTTAGGCATTATGCCTAAGAGGTTTCAAAACCTTAAAGGGGTTTCGAAACCTTACTCCAAAATTGAATATTTTGACTTATTTTGAGTTTCTAAACATATTAGGTATGGGTCATGTAAAAAATACTTGGAAAACATTTTTTTTCAAGTTTTGTGGACTTTGAATTATTTTTTAATCATTTGAACAAATTCAATTAAGTCAAAAAAACATTTTGCCTTTATTTGTTATATCAAAATACAGGTTCAACATTAACGATAAAAAAATAAAAACATACAAGCTAAAACTTACATCTAGGCCAACTGAGAATATGACAATACTTAAATCAATAATAAATCTAGCTTATTTATAATTAATTTAAGACTAATTCTATTGTTTTAATAATTATTTTTAATGTGAAATCACTAAAAAAATAATTTAATATTCAAATTATAATCATAAGAAAAAAATTTAAGATTCAAATTATAAATTTATCTTTTGATTTTAAATTATGCTCGTGAGTTCAAATATGTTAAATAAATTTTTAATTTAATTTTAAACATAATTTCATATATATAATCATTAATAAATAAATATAAAATAAATAACTTTAATTTAAAAATATTAAAATCTTAAATGAATTATAAATAATATATTAATTTTTTTAGCAATTTAAGTGTTATCATATTCTCAATTGACATAGATTTAAATCTTCACTTGTCTATTTTTTATTTATATAATTAACTATAATATATAATATATAAAAAATATTTTAATTAATTCCTAAATATTAGATTTAGCCTATTGGTTAAGGCATTTCTTTGTTACTAACTAATGTTAGGTTCAAATCCAATTAAGTTATTTTAGTTTTATTTTTCTTCCTAAACCTGAACAAGTTATATAACATATATATTATCAAAGTGTGAGAATTGACTTAGCGATTAATTCTAAAATCTAAGGGATTTAATATTTCAGTAGTCATATTAAAACCATTTTAATAGTTCAATAGTTATATTGACGTAAATTTAAAAATGATAGTCATTTAGAAGGCAATAGTTGGGTAGTTATTTATGTAGTTTACCCTTCTTAGAGTACGCAACGTCGATAGAAAAAATTCCTCAAACCCTAGTTTCTTCCTCTTAATTGGCATCAAAGTTCTGAACATTAGGTTCTTACTTTTTCATTGGATTAAGCTAGGAATGGCAGAACGACCCGAATGGGAAACCCGAAACCTGGCTAAGTTCGGGTCGGGTCGGGTCGGGTTGGTTTGAATAATATCGGGTCAGGTCGGGTATCGGGGTAAAATTCGGGGATTTTTTTTGGGTTCGGGTTCAGGGACGGGGCAAGGTATCCCCGCCCCCTCCCGCCCCAATTATATATATATATATATATATTTATATTTTTTATATTAATTATTAAAGTAAAATTTGGTTGATTTATTGATAAATTTCTCAATGTAGTGAGCTACCAAAGAAAGTCACAAAAGTGGCACGAAAATTCGGGGATTTTTTTTGGGTTCGGGTTCGAGGACGGGGCAAAAAAAATCCTCGATAGGGCACCCCGATAAAAACTCGACAGGGAACGGGGCGGGGACGGGGGAGCAAAACCCGCCCCGTTGCCATTCCTAGATTAAGCTTTCTTTTACTCACTTTAAGTAGTTGTCAAATGCTATGACAGAGTTCTTTCATGGACAAATAATACATGTTTCCATCTATTCCTAATCAACAACATTTCAGAATAATTTATTTTTTAAAATTAAGGTTAATAAATGTATGAAATCCTTTACTATTTCAAAATTTAAAATCTAATTTTCATATTTTATTTTTTATAAATTTTTTATACAGTATTTTTTTTATTTAAAAGCTTTATCCTCCTCCTAACTTTTATTCAATATCAATGGTAGTTGTTGATTTCACAGCTATAAAAAGAAGTTAAAATAAGGTTTTTTTTTACCTTTAAGGGTGTTATAAAATATATTTTTTTATTAATGTGAGGTAAATACAAGGTAGTATCTATTCAAAGATAACTCTCAACCATTTGACATTGAACGTTCACACCCATGGCAGTCCTGGT